ATAATTTATTAATCCTGTTATAAGTTTAAAGTACCACATATTTTGGTGCAACACAATAAATGCATGAGATAAACTTGAAAAAATACCATTCACATTTCCTAAAATTTTTATTTCAGCTGTGAATGTGCATCTGGATGGACYGGACAAAACTGTAGTGAAGAAATAAATGAATGTGATTCTGACCCATGCATGAATGGAGCTCTCTGTCATGAATCTACCATCCCCGGGCAATTTGTATGCCTGTGCCCACCCTTTTATACTGGACAATTTTGCCATCAGCACTCTAATCCCTGTGATCTACTCAATGAGCCTTGCAGAAACAATGCAACATGCCTGACTTCAGCAGATGGAAGTCATCATTGCCTTTGTAGAGAAGGTAAGACTTATGTATGTCTTAATGTTTATTTACTCATTTATTGTTCCTATGGAATAATGGCTGGTTAAGAATGGGTGAGAAGAAACCTATAAGATATTTACTTTTCAGTGTTAGAGGTTAATCTGGAGTGTTTGGACAMAAGAATAAATAATTATTGCCTTTATCTTTAAGGAAGAGTTCCTTGGGGAAGAGGTTGAGCATATGACTCAAAATTAGAACTAAAATTCAAGCATTAAAAACATATTGTAAAATRTATATCTAAAAATTTAACCTATATAACATTGGGAAAAGAGAGTAATGCTTTTTTGTGGGGGGAACAAGGGATTGAACTCAGAGGCACTCCACTGCTGAGCCACATCTCCAGCCCTATTTTATATTTTATTTAGAGATGGGGTCTCACTGAGTTGCTTAGCGCCTCCMGAAATWTCTGTGGCTAGCTTTAAACTTGCAATCCTCCTGCCTCAGCCTCCTGAACCACGGGGATTGCAGCCATGGTGCACAGCCAGAGAGTAATGCTTTTTAATTCTTTCTTTTTSCCCTTCTTTTCCTTTCTTCCTTCCTTTCTTTACTTTGTCTCTTTCAGGAATTATCTCTCCTTTGGTAACAACCTSTCTTTCCTGAAGAGTCTTATACTATTCTTGGCAATAACAATTAGTTTAAGATGGGAGTAGGCCCAAGATAGAATAATCAAATGATTCCATGTGACATTTGTTCTGAAGTTACCTAAAACTATCAGGTCTTCCTGCTTTGATTGCTTATGTGCTATCATGTGATTCTGGTGATCCTTTTGTTTCATTAGAAAGATCCTATGAAAGGAAATATGGGTAGATCAAGGGGTTTTATGTGAGTTCCTGAATTAAGCCATACAGAAGACTGATACTCCAGAGTTATTACCATCTTCACCGGGAACACTTWAGCAAAACACTAGCACATGGAAGGTTTGCAGAGTAACTGGAGTATGTCATTAGCAAATGCAAAAACCATATTCCATTTAGCAGTTTATAACTATAATATATTTTCTATTGTTTATCTATGAGTTAGTTCATTTCTCTTTCCCTATTACTGAGTCTTGGGGTCCCTACAAGATAAAGGCAATTAATTATTTAGCATTCTGTTTTTTAAAAACCAGATTAGACTATAACAGTGAATGAAATATCTTATTCAACACTGTTTCCTATTTGTTTTGAAAAACTTTTGAGATCTTCTTTAAGATATAGGTAATCAATTTTAAGGATATCAGGGCAAGTCCTTAGTACTTTGTACGTGACAGAAGTTTTTGGGACCTATGAGGAACTGGATTTAGAAACTGAAAAGCTATGAATAATGTTTTTTTGTTATCTGGTTGATATTGTTTAGTTGTTGTTATTGTTTTGGTATCCGGTATTGAACTCAGGGGCACTGGACTAAGGAGCAGTATCCCCAGCCCAATTTTTTATGTCTTTTTTTTTTTTTTTTTTTTTTTTTTTAGAGACAGAGTCTCACTGAGTTGTTTAGTGCCTCACTTTTTTTAAATTAGTTACACATGACAGTACAATGTTCTTGACATTTCATACATTTGAATCAAATGGAATATAATTTCTCATTTTTCTGATTGTACAGGTTGCAGAATCACATTGGTCATACAGTCATGTATATACATACAGCAATAATAATGTCTATTTTATTCTGCTGCCCTTCCTATACCCCCTTCCCCTCTTSTTGAATAGGGCTGTGAACTCCCAATCCTCCTGCCTCAGCCTCTAGAGCTGCTGGTATTACAAGCCAGCGYCACCCTGGGGGCTTGATTTTATTTTTAATGAAAAAGGCTTTTTAGWGTACACAAAAATTATTTTTCAGGAATGAGATAGAAACAAGATAGAGGAGAAAAAATATAAAGGAAACAATTAATTTTACAGAAAACCTCATAATTATGAAGCACATAATTTAAATAAATAATTTTCCTCTTAAAGACAAAAAAGTAAAAAATTTTGAGAAATTATTCAATATTAATGAAAGAACTAATTTACTGGGGAGGATTTTTCTATGTTACTTTATCCATTTTATTTTTAATATCTCAGAATAAAAATATTAGATAARTATTTATTGAGGAAGGACATAATAATTACTCATCTTATTTTCCAAATCCTAATAGTTTGATCACTAATTTGAAATTTATAAATGCAGCTAATATTTTATATAATTAGATTCATTTACTGCTCTTGGGTGAGGGAAAAATAAGTTCTGAGATATAATGAAAACTTATATCAAATTAGTAATAATACTTCCCTTTCACCTGAGTAATCACAGAGAWATCTTGAGGTAAATTAGATTTAACTATTTTAAGAAGTAAAATCAGCTCTTCCTTGAGATTTCATATCAAGAATTCCAAGGAAACATGACTAGGTTAGTAAATTCTTCGGACTGAGTGAGTTTCTCTAAATCAGTCCTAACTGCTCTAATAATGCCTATTTAATATTGCCATTAGTGAATAAGAATAGATAATGGTCAGGCAGTGTGCCCCAACTAGGGTCTGATTCAAATGCAGAGGCCACACCCAGAGACTAACTAGTAGAGATATTAATTGGCAACATCAAGKTGAATTTCAAATGTAAAAGTCTTTGAGGCTCACCTGTGGGAACATTTCAGCCATCTCCTTTTTTCTAGAGAGGGTAGAAAATGGAAGTTGAAAGTGAATCCAGATCAGACTTAAAGAAAGGATTAACATTCAGTCTAAAAGACACAGTCAATACTTTTTCAATGCCTATTTAAAGATGTGTTTGCCTAGGTGCTTATATGGTTTGGGGTAGAGCATGGAGAAAAATCTGTTAACTGTAAATGGCATTYTGATACACCCTGAAAAAACACCAAGTAGAAGTCCTTTGAATTTATGGCAAACTTACTCCTCAGGATGTAAACTATTTTGGTTAGTTTGACAAAAAGTTATAGTACAAATAATCTAATTTATTTTCATGCAACATGAGCATCTTAAAAAATTTATTAGGATAATAAAAATACCAAAACTGTTGTGATCATGTTTTGCTAGAGAAAGTCAAGGCAATGCTTCTATCTTTTGATTAGAACTAAAGTGAGTTAATTTGATTTGTATGCATAATGAGTATTTTGTAGCGGAAAATAGGTAGGCAAAGAAGCAAGCAGAAATAATAACTTAATACAGGTTTGTTTTATATAGTATGCWATTTGTATGAAGAAATATCTGTGATTGAAAATAATCAGTTTTTTTATTAAATAAAATATAGTTCATACAAAGGTAAATACAATTATGTAAGATTCCTAGAAACAAATGGGGTTTGACACCCTAATAGTATTAGTTTTGTTTTTTTAGTCTGCAATCAATTTATGCWACTAAAAATTTATTCTATAGTACACAAAATTCATTTTTTTTGAAAGTATTACTTTATATCACATACATCTGTCTTGTAATTACCTGTTGGTAGCATACTGGAAATCTAAAAATGTTATCCTTTATTAACTGCCTCAACAAACATCGTGGTCTCTTATGACATGTCAATTCTTGAGAAAGGTTCTAGAGAAATTAAAAATRGCAAAGACATATACTCAAGAAATGTAAAGTTTAAGGGCAAGATATACAAATTAACTAACCTGAAAGTCCAACACAATAAGAGGTTCTGAAATTGTGACAGAAAATTACACAAGGATGATTTGTAGATTAGTGCTCAGCTTTCTTGTTCAGTGTGACAAACTCTGAGTTGTGTAGTTTCTATGATTTAAATGTGTTCCCCAAATTATCTGTGTTAGAAACTGAGTCCCCAGTGTAACAGTACTGAGATATGGTTGGGTTCCAAAGGTTCTACCTTCAAGAGTAGATTAATGTTACTTCCACAGAAATGAATGAGCTATTGCAGGAGTGGGTTTCTGAGGGAGGATTGGATTTAACTTAACATCCTTCCCTCTCTTTTTTTCTTTTGTTTGTTTTTCTCTCTCTTGCCTGCATGTACAAAGTATCCTTTAGTTGTTCTGCCTTCTGATGTAGGTTAATGCAGCAAGAAGGACCTAGTCATATGCAAGTCTTACCAACTTTCAGAACTGTAAGAAATACATCTGTTATTTATACATTACCCAGATTCAGGTATTCTGTTACAGCACCACAAAAAGGCCAAAGGTAGTTCTAGATGATTTCTAAATCATTCTCCAGCAAGAAAAACCKCAACATTGACACGTTGCCCATTTCAATAACATGCTCATTAAGCCCTCTTCCTTTCTCTGTTTTATTCATCACTCMCTTGTAATAATTCCAGGAATTGTCTCTAAAATAGACTACTTGTATGCATATTATTATCTCTGATTCTTTTTTTGAAAGAACCCAAGCTAAGGTATATAGCAAACACCATCCCTTTAGCAGAAATATGGGTCTGATSATGTGATTAGAATATTGGCACTCAGAATTTTTCCTTAGAATTGATGCTGAGAGTAGGGGCTTTCTCTTCTGAGATAATTTTTTGGTTGGTGCAGTCAACTGCCATGTTGCCTGTATGCAGAGATCTGTATGACAATAGCACTATTTGAAAAGAAGGAATTCTAGTGGTTCCTATAACTTTTCTTTTCCTCCCTCCCTCCCTCCCTCCCTTCTTTCTTTCTTTCTTTCTTTCTTTCTTTCTTTCTTTCTTTCTTTCTTTCTTTCTTTCTTTCTTTCTTTCTTTCTTAATCAATTCTGTGAATAGTCAGATATCCCTCCCAGCTAAGCTGCCAATAAATCTATAGCCTGTCTAAAGATAGCATTTCTGTATATCAAAAATAGCCAAAAGAGTAATAGCTACACATACTGTGAATGGAAAAGTGAAATAAGAGAAGATAAATAAATTGGGTTCAAATTCAAGTGTTTGGCAAAAAAAAAAAAAAAATGTAAACTCCACATGAGGATTAGGGGAATAAAGATGACTTTAGATAAAACATTTGAATGTGTTCTATAGTGCAAGTATGTATGTGTATACAGTTGAATATTTAAAATAATTTTATTTTTGAAATATATTTGTTTTCTAATATTCTTTTATGAATGATAATTTGTTTATTTTGAATTTTATCTCAGTTTGTAAGCAAAAACATTACATTTCTTTTCAAAAATTAGTTACTTTGGTAAATAACAGCATTTACTTAAAATATTTTAAGTAAAACAACAAACTTAAAATAAACTGATTTGTTAACAAAGAATTCAGAGTTTTTGTTTTTATAAAATATTAAAATCTGGCTAAATTAGATTTTTAATTAATAATAAATAATATTTTTGAAAATAATTTTAGCATCCTTAGTTTTACTTTTAAATATGTGATATTTAACCACCTTATTGAAATACTAATCATGATATACTCTTGTGTAAGGATTCTGGCTATGGAAAAACACAAGGTAGGGTTCCTCTGGTGAGCAAACTACCAAGGGGTAACAGGAACCCCGTTTTCAGGACTTGGATTATTCTGAAGTTTCTCTCAGCARTTAGTAAGATAACTAATACATGTGCAATGCCTAGCTGCTATGGTAATGTCCTTTGTGAGGAGGCTCTGTACTAGATAGAGTCTTATCAACCTTGACCTTGATTTCAGATACTCAGCTTTTAACTACAGTGTTTCACTGAGCCCAAATCTGTCCACATAACAGTAACTTTATACAATGAACTTTCTTGAGATCTACACAAAGCTCCTAACATTACAGACTGCAACTTAGTATGTAACTGAGAAATAGGCTGCATAATGTTGCTAAGTCTATAACCTGAGTAGTAGTAACAGTAAACAATAGGTACTAATGATGTCAGTGACCTAAAGTGAAATAAATAAAGCTAGCAGYTCAGGAGAGCAGCTTTTGCTGTGCCTCTGCACCTTGCTTCTGTCTGCTTTTGCTTTTCTTACACTCTTGTTTTCTCCATTTATTTTCATTTTAAATTACTCCAACTTGTATCACTTGTAAAGTGAGAATACTTAAAACTGTAGTCCACAATGATAAAATTCTTCTTTACAACCTTTAATGAAAATCTCCCTTGTTAATGTACTTCTTCAATACCATCTCTTSTACATAATCCAATGCAAAAGCATGATTTTTTTAGAAAGACTATATTAAATAGTTTCTTATATGATATGTGTAATCTGAATTGATGTAGATCCTAGATTTTACTAGCAACCTTACTAACTAATTTCCCATGTTTTGAAGGAGTTGGAAAGTATAAAAACATTGTTATTGCTGTTGTTATCTTGGTATTGGGCTACATGTATTACCCTTTTTGATGTTTTATTTTGAGATAGGGTCTCAGTAAATTTCAGAGGCTGGCCTTGAACTTGTGATCCTCAGCCTCTACGTCACTGAGATTACAGGTGTGTGCGCCACCATACCAGATAAAATAGTATTATGTATTAACCATTCATTTTCATTTGCTATAGAGAAACACAGGCAAGATATTAAAGACTAAAAAAATGAAGAAAATACCCATTTGCTCCTCGGAGAATGCCTTTCTTTTTGTAAACAACAAGAACCTTACTATAGTTGGGAGGTAGTTGTGCATGCCTGTAATTCTAGTGGCACCAGAGGCTGAGACAGGAGGATCCAGATTTCAAAACCAGCCTCAGCAATAGCAAATTACTAAGCAACTCAGTGAGACCTGTCTCTAAATAAAGTACAAAATGTGACTGGGGATGTAGTTCAGTGGTCCAGTGSCCCTGAGTTCAATCCCCTCCACACACACCAAAAAAATAATTCACTGTACTTTCTATTTGGAGAGCCTTTTTTCTATAACTGCATATATTCAAAACAAGTACTCTTCTCACAAGCAAATTTAAACTTTAATACTATGGACTATTAAATGTTTAGTTTGAGACTAGGTATGTACAAATCTCATGTCTTTGAAGTCCCTAAAAAGTTAGCTTCCTTAGTAAAACTTTGGCTCATTTTGAATGCTGTCCATATTGACCTTATGTTTTCTCCAAATATCTACTGCTTCAGCAATCTCATTTTCTCCAGCCCATTGACATGTTACAAAACTCTATCTAACAAAACTCTAACTAAGAAATGTCAAGCTTAATGAATAAGGCAAAATCATGGAAAACAGGTTATCCTGTGAGCTMTTCTTGACTCAGGTTCTGAGTGTTCTGATTCATCAGCTTTATTGAGATCTAAAGGATCACTGGTATTTCTTAGTCAGCCAGTGCCTCTGAGCTCCAGTGCCAAAACAAACAAACAAGCAAACAATCAAACAAAAACCATAACAACTAATCTTCTGAAAAGAGGGATGCTAAAATGCATCCAACTTTCTAAATCTTATACTTGTAAAAAAAAATTCTAACTAATATTTAAAGACTTGAACACCCTCAGAAAATATGAGGACTTTATATCTCCTATGACATTTACAACTTAGTTATAAAAAACAGGAATGGTGAGTGCAGAATGGTGAAGTTGTATCAATAATAACTTGCTCACCTAAAAGAGGAGAACCATGTTAATTAGGAAAATTTCATGTCAATTTTATTTTTACCCTAAAGATATAAAATCTAGCACATTAATCATAAGCCCATAACTTCAGAAGTTAACATAAAGGCTCTGTAAGTGAAGAAAAGTTGTCCTGAAGGCTATGTAGTCCCATAAGTATTCTAGCTTTTCTATAATCAGTTTTTCTTGAAGCATCTTCATTCWACCTTTCTACTTTTAACCTTCATCTTCTTTACAGTTCAAGTAAATTTCCTTTAGATACCATTGAGTTGCTTCTTGTATTTTATTTAATCTCTCTTTACMTTTTTGTTAGTGTTTATAAATTATATTTAATGTGATTATTGATATGTGTAGCTTTAAGTTAGCCATCTTGCCATTTGTGTTCTATTTGCTGTATCTGTACTGAATTTCTTTTACTCCTTTTGTTTTCTTTTGATTAATTAATTGTTAATTTTCCATATTATCTCCTCTGTAAAGAGTCAGCCAGATTTTACAAGATGTCATAYCATCCTCCCTGACCAACTCCAATGAGAGAAAGGTTTGGAGTTTTATCTGATGATATACACCACAGAGGAAGAGAGTGACCATGACTTGTGATGTGTTTGTAAAAAGAGAAAGCAGGTCTAGTCCATGTCCCATCAGGAGAATCTGAGAAAATASTGAAGGCAATTTTCAGCAGTAGATGCTGATGCTGTTGTGTCAGGATATAGAGGGAGTGATCAAGRAAGTTGTGCTGTATCATCCACACACCAACCTTACTGATGATCTAAAGCTTTGAACATGGAGAGGTAGTTGTGATGGAAACAGAAGCTATATGAGAAGAAATAAGAACGAGAGCTATGAGAGGAAAGCAGTCACTCACTGGTAACTAGACCACACTACGTTCTCCTTCAGATACATCTCAGTTTAAACTCTAGTCTATGTGTATGAGAGCAATAGTTTCCTGAAAGTAACTTGAGTGACCCTATGTTTCTCAAACTAAATGAACCCCAATGAATATTGACATTTATGTTACCACAATTATTCAGTCCTAGTTTTATCAATGGAAAAGCAAGAGAAAGGAAAATCATTTTGTTTACTATATTTTTAAAATAACTATAGAAAAAGTACTAAAAAGCATTAGACTAAGTATACATTTTGTTCCTAAATGACCATGGAAATAATTGTTTAAATGGTCATTATGAATAATAAAATATTTAATTATAGTTTTAAAAGGGATGAGTTATGGACATTTTTTCAGATATGGATATATTGCTATCATTATAATTGCCTCTCTTATTGGTCTACATAACTTTCTTTCACTTTTATTTTTTAATATAACTGGCAAGTGTTTAAATGGATGACTGATTATGCAGCTATGAATCACAATAATTTGTTTTCTTTGAATCACTTGGATGTGAAAGGCAATTAAATAATTTGCCACATCTGCTAACTGTCTTGAATAAATTTGATCATTGAAGCTCAATTTTACATGAAGATTGGTCATCAAATTAATTCATTTGCTTTCCAGATCATTTCAGTTCTTCTTGTTCAAACATTTAAATACCTTATAAAACAATAGCAACATTTGCCACGACTGTACATTTCCAGGAGATTAAGTAGAGCACCTTCTTTTGATTCTTCTGTTTGATCTCATTAATATAGACAGTGGTGTAATTTTATTCATATACTATTTTGATAGTTGTATAAGAAGTCTGAAATAAAGTTGTTTCTTCTACTTCTTTTAAATTTCCATCAGAACATGTTGCCTGGATTCCTGTTCACAGATTCTGAAGCTTTACATTCTATTGCAACAATTGCTCATCCACACCCACTTCATCTCTCCTTTAGGATTTGAAGGTGAACAGTGTGAAATTGATAAGAATGAGTGTCTTTCTCTTCCCTGCCAGAATTATGGTGACTGTGAAGATGAGATCAACAATTTCAGGTAGAGAAAAACAAACAAAAACCTAGATGTCTATTTAGGTGTATGAATATATCAGGATAAATGTTTAGAATTTCAACTAACAAATTAAGCAACATATGTGACTACTAAAAAGTAGCTATGCTACAATCAGTTGAAGTTTTCAATTCTTTATATTTATATTAATACAGTTACAACTCTTTTTTTGTGTTGTTTTAAAGATGTGTTTGCAGACCCGGGTTTTCTGGACCTCTATGTGAAACAGAAATTAATGAGTGCTCCTCTAAGCCTTGCAAAAATAATGGAACATGTGTGGATCTTGAAAACAGGTTAGAAACTACTTTTCATTAAATCAATGATTGCATGTGTGCAATTTAACAAATAATAAAGTGAGTGCACATATACCCATTATGCAATTTAAGAAGCTGAACTTTACTGATACATTTGTGCTTATCCCTAAGTACAACCTCCTCCATCCTACCCAACTAATTATATTGAGTAACCTGAATTTATGTTTATCATTTTCCCTGTAATTTATTGTGCTAATTATTTGTCTGTAATCTTTTAAATTTGCTCTTTAATGTACATATTCACATATGTGAAATAATTTTCTCCAGTCTATGAAAAATATTTTTCAATGAACAGTTWTCTTTAATGTCTGTTGCTCATTTTCAAATTTTATAGAATATTTCATGTATGCCAGCAATGTTTTATCATTCTGCTGGTCATAAATAATTGGATTATTTATTTTTGTCTTATCAATGATTAGAATAATTAGATTATATATAAGGTTTTCAACTATTTCTCCAAATGTACCAGCCATAGAGTTATTCTAAGTTACATCAATTGAAACAGAATCATTGAATCTTGGTGTTGACATTTCTACCTCTGGTAATTATGTTTATTATTTCTATATAATTTTGAAAATGGAATATTAACACTCTCTACAACATTGAATAATCTAGTCATTAGCATTGTCTGAATGTTTCAGTTGGTATCTTGGACCACATCACACATTCTCACTCATGACTGGAGTTAAAGAGGTTATCTTATRCAAGTAGAGAGTAGAAGAGTGGCCATTAGAAGATGGGAAAGGCAGGAGGGAAGAAGGATATAAGTTAGATGACAGGAGAATTAGTTCAAGTATTCTGTAGTACAAYAAGAGAATACATTCCACAACAAATATCTGTATGTTTCCAAATACCTAAAAAATCCAAAGATTCCTAACATATAGAAATGAAAATATTTGAGAAAACAGAAATTCTAATTACCCTGACTTAATTATTACATGTTGTATATGTGTGCTGAGTTATTATAGTGTACCCCAGAAATATGTATGAATACTATTTGTTAGTTTAAAAGTTTTAGAAGGACTCCAATACAATTAAAACAAGCAAAATAAACTATGCATCTCATTGCACATTCAGTATTCTCTTAGATTAATATTAAATTTGATGGGTTTTGCCATATACAAATTTTCAAATTACTATATTTCTTATATTTTATATATTAAGATATGTCTATATTCATTAAAAATTAAAATATGCAAGCCATAATATTTACAGCATGTCTTAAGCATGGAAAGCCTAAACAMAAAAGTTTAAAATATTATTTGAAGGATTTATTTACATTTAAGTTCAAAAAATTTAACCTAAGAATATCTATTTGCAAAGATAGATTATTTGAAATCTAAAACATACTTATTAATATAAAGTACTGTGAATGAGAAATGCAGAGAAGAGTAGTAGAATAGTATCATAAAGGAAAAATATAAAATGCTTTAAGATTTATTATGAATTTCAAAATTTGAACTACTTTAACAAAAGCTAAAATTTCTTATCAGAAAGTTTCATGAGTGAGCTGGTAGGGGTGGTGCATGCCTGTAATCCCAGCAGCTTGGGAGGTTGAGGTAGAAGGATTGTGAGTTCAAAGTGAGTCTCAGCAAAAGCAAGGCGCTAAGCAACTCAGTGAGACCCTGTCTCTAAATAAAATACAAAATAGGGCTGGGGATGTGGCTTCCTGGTCCAGTGCTTCTGAGTTCAATCCCTGGTACCAAAAAAATAAATAAATAAATTGAAAAAAGGAAAGCTTCATGAGTGATATTCTATAGTTTTTTTTTTTTATATTTTATAGTATTTAGTAAAATTATATATTAAAATAAACATAGATTAAATTTATGGCAAACAGATTTTTAAATAAAAATTCTTTTTAAAAAATCTATGCTACATCTTGTCTCTTGTAACATTTAATCTGTATATGATTATATTTTTAATAACTCAGCTTTCTAGAAATATAAGAAAAATTCTTCTAGTTATTAATTYTTCAAATAATATAAAAGAATGATGTACATAAAATGTAAACATAAGCTAATTTTAGGACTTAAAAATCCAAGTGATTATCTTCTATTTTGCTCTATGTAATCTTTTATTGTGGCAATATCACTTCAGGTAAGTCATATTTACTCTTCCTTATCTCTACCTTATGCATTGGATTTTCCTCAATATTCATCTGTTCAAATGCATCTCAGTAACTAGAAAAGTATTTTGAAAAGATATCTGAAAGCATACAAAAGTATGTTTGAAAAAACATGTTTATCCAATTAAAAATAAAATAAAGATTTCCCATACTTTGACATTAGGTTTAAGTTTGATTCTCCTAAAATTTTTGAAGCAAAAGTCATGCATTTGAGTTAGAATTTTAATTTCATCAAAATAAATATTTCATCATCTCAATTGTTTTCTTGGAATGTAGGATGTTTTATATATGTGTATTTAAGTTGTTAAAATTGTGCTTCTAAAAAGAAAAAAAATGTTTTAGGAACCTATAATGTAAAATGAAATAATTATTACCAATTTGAATCACTTAAGACATTAACAAAAATGAAGATTCACTTTCATTTTTCCTTTAGCCTCAAATGGTATGTGACGCATAAAGGGAGCCTCAGCAGGTATTAATGAAAGCAAAACTATGCCAAAGCTGGATGGATTGTCCATGTTAGCCAGTAGGAGAGATTTGGTGAGAAGCCATCAGACAAACTCTATGCACTTTTATTCATTATTATTTTAAAGGGCCAGGTTAACAGGCATGGTACAATGCTGCAAATGTTCAGTCTTGTGTTTGCCTCCCTTATTACCAAAGAGTAGAAAGAGAGCAGATCATAAAAGAAGGGGGAAGGAGACAGGAAACCTGTATTTTACTTCTTCTGGGAAAGACTAGACCCAGAAATTCAAGGTAAAATTCTGTTCTGCAGTAAATATTTCCTTCTCAAAATATATGCCCTCACATTGTATATCATGGTGGGAGATGAGTATAGAGTCAGTTAAATATTTCCTGTAAACTATGTGTTTTATTGGGATTGCTGCCAATAATGGGTCTGTGGATTTTTGTTTTTTAACCTTTATAAAATTTTAGACAATATTCAGAAATCTTTAAAATTGACCCTAGACTCCTGGGAGTATTTGGAACCACTAATAAAAGAGCAGGCATACTCCACACTTCAGTTGAACAATCATCTGTACATTATCAATCTTTAATTATGYTTGGAACTTACTTTTTTGAAAAATGAAGTGCATTTATGCAATGCTAAAGAGTTTCAGACTGAAAAAAGTGGTTTAGAAAATAGGAGAGATTAGTAATGGTCTTGACCAAAACTGAAAAGACAAAATAACATACTGAAGTTGAAGTGATGCATTCTTCGATAAAATGATTATTATGATTCATAAACATAAAAAATCCTGACAACTAAGGTTTGTAAATTTGCAGTGTGTGTGTGTGTGTGTGTGTGTGTGTGTGTGTGTATGTGTGCACATGCATGTGTTCACTCTAAAATCAACTTTAAAAACAAAAGCCAAGCTGGGTGCAGTGGTACACACCTGTAATCTCAGTGTCTCCTGGGCCTTAGGAAGAAGTATTGTGAATTCACAGCCAGCCTCAGCAGCCCAGAGAGGCCTTAAGTGACTTAGCGGGACCCTGTCTCAAAATTAAATATAGAAAATGTTGGAAATGTGGCTCAGAGGTTAAGCAACTCTGGGTTCAATTTGCCATACAAAATAAATGAATAAATAAAACAGAAGCAAAAATTAAAGCATAATTTTCAGAATGGCTCATTTTTACATTAATTTAGGTATATTAGAAGAAAGGATATGTAGGCAAATAATAACATTTAGTAAAAACTATAAACATAACCAAAAGATTATGAATATGAAGGAAATTCGAATTGAAAAGTGAATGAAAGAGAATTCTGGGCAGCTGAGAGAATATAAATCTCTTTATACATACTTTAAAAAACTATTCAGATAAAACTAAAACTAAACTATTATATATTTCAGCATATGTAGCTATATGTATCCATACATATGAAAATACACATATCAAATATCTTTGTTTCTAAATAATATTACTCACTTAAATAAGCCAGGAATTCCTTATCAAATGGCTCATCTAGAATTAGGACCAGGAATGTATTAAAACAAACCTGGAATATCTTATGTTAGAAAGAGTGGTCACAGAATGATGGAAATGTGTCAAAAGGAAAGAGAAACCACTTAATGAGGATACCAATATTCATATCCCAAACAAATTCATCATGAAATAAATTATGGTAGTTATATATTTGATGCAGTGAAAGAATGGAAATCTGTGAGTCTATATAGATATGCCTACGCTGATTTAATGTGTGAATACAAGAAAAGGAAAAAACGGTTCCAAGAGTAAAATGTCAAGTAACAAAAGAAGAACAAATGATGGGCTAGAAAAACATCATTTGGCAAAAGCATAGAGGTCATTGACTCAGTTAAGAAAGATGAAAGGAGAGCAGCTCCTGTTTTTAAGTTGATTCATAGCTGCAGTTTTATGGTATTCATAAGCCCCAGAGAAACATTTCAGAATCCACAGAAAAGTAAACAGGATACAAAAAGTCAAGGGATTTTATTATTTTCTTATTTTTCAAAATGAAAGGGGGGAATTTTGTAAGTGAACAAAATATTTTGATAAAACAAGTCATGATCATCATAAGTCTATCATTGAGGTGCTGGGACTGGGGCTCAGTGGTAGCACACTTGCCTGGCTTTTGGGAGGCACTTTTTGATTCTCAGCACCACATATATATCAATAAATAAAATAAAGGTCTATCAATAATCAATTTTTTTAAAAAAATAAGTCTATCGTTGAGAAAATATATATTCCTATTTTTTTTCCTAATATTCAGTATTCTACAATAGAGAGAGTAGATTTCAGAACTTCTGGAGATGTAGAATTATCATAAGTTTATACAGGGGATACAGACATTAAGATAAAAACCATTGTTTTATAGTAATGTAACATTTTTTAATTTATCAATATACAAAACAAATCATTTTCTGAGATGCCTTTCACTTGTTACTGCTGAGACTTCTATGCATAATTCTTATCCACTCTGAGATTCACTAGAAACATCCTAATTCACTGATAACACACACCAGCAATCAAATCCTAACAAGCATACTTTCAGCTTAGTAAGCCATTTAATAGATTCATTAAATCATCTCACACTAGATAGTGATATATTAGCAAGAAAGAGAAGACTTTTCATTGTTTGAACATAAATTCAAGGATTCATAGTATTTGAATTAGTGATTACATCCATTCCTTAACTACATAGAGATCTTGAGAAATATRGTTCTCTTTTACATCTACATGACACTGCACATGCAATTTTGCCTTCTGTCCACCTGATACAAAGAACCCACTGTCTTTATGATTCATCTTTTTTGATACCTTCAGTAGCAGTTAGCTATGCTTTTTTCAAGCTTCAAACCTGTCTCCAGTGACATTTGCTTTCTGCAATGTGTATGTGTGTATATTTCTAATCTTATAACACTTTCAAAAGCAAGCAAATATCTGCAAGGTAGCACAAATCTGTAGACCCACCTGTTTAAAATTTTAAGGCAGGAAGATTATTTGAGCCCAGGAGTTCAGTACCAGCCTGGGCAACATAGTAAGACCCTGTTAAAAAAAAATCCATTTAAAAGCAATCCAAGCTTTACTCGCACTTGAATTTGGGTGCATGACAAATGTCTGACAATCAATTAATGTGYATCAAATGAGTAAAAGAGGAGCATGGGAATAGTAGAATGCTGGTGGTTATAAAATGATGTTAGAGTTTCCTCTGAAAATCAGAATAAAATCTGGCTCAAAAGCATTATGGGGAAACTCAGTAAAACCTCTTTATCTAGACTTCTAAAACAGAAGCAAACTGTGTTTCAGCAGYTTTTTCACTGATGTGATCAAAAGAACTGGTAAGAACTTGAAGAGAAAAATTTATTTGGGGCTCATGGTTTTCAGGGGTCTCAGTCCAGAGACAGCCAACTCCATTGGTCTGGGCCCACTGTGAGGCAGAACATCCCGGTGGAAAGTTGTGCAAGAGGAAAGCAGCACAGAACATGACAATCAGGGAGCAGAGAAGCTCTGCTCACCAGGGACAAAATATAGACCCCAAAGGCCATCCTCTAGTAACGCAACTCTTATAGCCACAACCTACCTGCCTACAGTTACCGCCCAGTTAATCCACATCAGTGGACTAAAGGGCTGTTTGGATTAAGCCTATTAAAACCCAGTCATTACACTTCTAAACTTTAATTTATTGTCTCACACATGAGCTTTTAGGCGATACTTCATATCTAAAATGTAACACTAGGTAAATCTATTTTTGAGAAGTGTACTTTTCATATAAATTAAATTTAATGTATGGAATTATTTTGATATTTTAATTTATATGTATCAATTTAGGTAGAGTTTAACACAGGTTAAATTATCTCTTTTTGTTGTTGTTGTTAGTCCTAGTTAATTTTGAGAAAAATCAGAATCAGCATAAATCAATATACAAGATAAAGTGGGGACAATTAGAGATTGAAGAAGGGATCACTCACGTGAAGTTTCTATGAATACTTCTTCATGGCAAGGCTATTTAAGAGGCATCACCTTTTGATGCCCTTTTGATACTCTACCAAGTGTAGATATTTGAACCTGATATTTAAGCATTGAATTACGTCTGATTTTTGAACAGCTGTCAATATGGTTCAGTATTCATGAAGTTGTTGCTGATAAAGGGATTTAAAAAAWTTTTAACTGGAAGGCTTTGATATCAGAAAAATACCATTCATCTTATAGGAGAGTAATCTTATACTTTCAAAAGAGAATATAGATGAAGGTTTTATACTAATACCATAGAAAACACAGTTATAGAATTAAGGTCAATAATATTTATCAAACTTAAATAATTATTTATTCAACTCATTTCTTTAAAAATATGTCTTGTAACAAATATTTTTGCAGAAAAAATATTTTGGAAGTAAAATTCTGTATTAAAAAACCAAAATGTATATGTTATTGTTTATTTAAATTAAGTCAAAAGTTTTAATCTAATATTTGCACATAAATTGTATGCATATATATATATACATAAATTGTATGTATGTGTATATATATATAATTCTTTATTATTTCTCATTTTCCTACATTTCTCTAGATTTTTATGTAACTGTGAACCTGGATACTATGGATCTTTGTGTGAATTGAATGTAAATGAATGTAAAACCCAACCTTGTCCAGGTGGAGAAAATTGTGTCAACAGAACTAGTGGACATACCTGTCTCTGTGCTCCTGGGTATACAGGTAAACCTATAACTGATTGTCCTATCTGTGTCAGCATACTACTGTTTGTAAATACATGACAACCTCATTTTTATAAGCCACAAATGGCAACTTGTTGGATGCAAAAAGGGCAGGAAGGTCTAGATTCTTGGTCAAAGTGTAAAAGAATTAATGAGAATTAAAATCATGATCGTTTTTTAATCAACAGTTTGGTAAGTACTAGGATTATAGTTTAATGTAATTTAAATTAGTATACCCTTTTAAATAGAATGTATCTGAAGTATGTTTGCATAGCTATAATACAGGGAAAAGTATGGGTATGTGAATAAGAAAATTAACTGTAACTGTTAAAAATTTCATTTTTTAAAATAATAAGTTTAGCTCTTCCTGAACACTTGTATGTGTTTAAATAAGAAAATCAGGGAAAAGTTTTTGTTTTAAAGTTCAAGCAGAAATCAAAATATGGAGTTAGCTATCTTAATATTAATTATTCCACAACATAAATACTATCCAAACATAAAGATAAAATTTATCAAGGAACTTACAAAAGGTAGAGATGCATTAGACCACTAAAAAAGCTGCATTGTTTAGCACAACAGTATAATGATGTGTATCTAACAAGAATCAAGCCTCAATTTGTTATCTGAATTTTGTAGTGCTAGATTCATATGGGTTCCTATTCTGAGGACTCTAATACTGAGTTCTTTGCTGATAGGAGTAAAAATCACTAGAAAAATGGGAGTAAGATTGGCATGCAAAAATGATAAGGAAGTAAAAGCATTTCCAGAGAACAAGGTATCAAAAAGTAAAAAAGTTTAGTGACCTGAAAAAGAACATTAAAGTGTCTTTTTTAAAGGATATTGATGGTCTCAGGAAAAGTACCTTGGTAACAATTATTACATGCTCAAAAGTCTCAGCAAGAGGAAAGAACATTAAACAGAACATTCAATATACTGATAATTGGTAATCAAAGGAGTTATTCACCCTTCCATTATTATAACAAAATACCTAATTTTTTTTTAATTACGAAGAGGAAAGCTTATTTAAATTATTTTTTTGCATACTCATTATCTGCATATTTTATTACATAAATAAGGAGCATTAACATTTTGCTATAAAATGCTATACCTCCTAAGTTTTTTATTGCTTATTCTCTTCTGGGTTACTAAGATTTCTATTTAGGACTACATATATCCCATTAGCAAAGCCATACACCATGATGTTAACATTGCTTTGGTCAATGCAGTTGATAGTGTTGAAATAAGAAATGACACATCAAGTTCAACATGAGTGTGAAACATATTCTATGAAGCTGCTGCTGCTGTGCTATGTATGTATATGTATGTTGAGGGTAACACACCAAGCACTTTCCTCTTGCATGCTAGGCAAGCAATTTACCAATGAAATACATTCCTAGTTCCTGTGAAACTTTTAATATAGCACTTGCTTTGACATTTTACATTTACCCTAATCCTTCAAGGGTTAAATATTTTTTTTTCTTTTCACGAGCTATATCTTTACATTACAAAATACAGTGCCTACCATTATTTCAAAATACTATTGGCTAATATGCTACCAGTGGCAAATTAAAGATTTTGTGATGTGTGTTTCTGTGACAATTAAAAAAAAAAAAACGTAATCAAATTGTTGACTTTAATAAATAGGATTTAACTTTTCTTACATAAGAACTCTGTAGGTAGACAGCAACCAAGGTTGGTACTAGCTTGACAGTAACAGGCTAGGTTATGATTTCTTAGTATTTAATTCATATTTATAGTTTCAGGACTCAGAATTGCTGTTGCACTTTTAGTCATTATGTCTATACTCCAGTCAGGAAAAGGAAGAAGAGTGGTGTCAACTGCATTGACCCCTTCTCTCAGGAAATCCTTCCCAGAATACAAATAAAAGATTTCTGTTAATACTGTATTGACCAGAACTGCCTCACATGGGCATTTTTAGCTGTAGAGGAAGGTGAGAAATTAAAAATTTATGTCTTATAAAATGTACCACTGAATATAGTAAGGTAATATTTAATTATAAAGTATGTGTTACATTTAGTTTTATATTAAGTATGACCTCTGCCTGCATGTTCAAAAGGAGGTTATTCTCCTCAAGAGAGTTCCATGTACTTGTTTTCCTCTACATGCTACTTTGACATCAAATTTCATCTTCTCTGTCATTCAAGGATACAGGAAGCTWTTTGTTATTCTCAGACACTTGTAGCATTTATTTTGTCTTAAGCTCTGCTGCAAGTCCTTCTTTCTTTCAGCCCCTAAAGCTCTAGGATTTTGTGAAAAGATATTCAATTCTATTCATTTCCCTTCTATTCTGTTTCCAAGAAGTCATGACAATGTAAGATTTTACTTAGAGAATCTTACATTTTAAGACGCAACTTTTGCATGCCTCTTTTATATTTGTCAAGATCACACATCCAATAGTGACAGAGCCAGATCCAAAATATACATCCCTTTCTCTTCCAGTTTTTTGTTTATCCTAATTTCACTTCACCTGAAAAGGTAAAATTTGTGAGAAATGAAACTAGTTTACACTGAAGCAAGAGGAAAGAACATTAAACAGAACATTCAATATACTGATAATTGGTAATCAAAGGAGTTATTCACCCTTCCATTATTATAACAAAATACCTAATTTTTTTTTTTAATTACGAAGAGGAAAGCTTATTTTAGCTCAGAGTTTTGAAAGTTTAAGACAATGGTTGGTTCACATCATTGTTTTGGGACCTGTGTTGAGGCAGTTCATTATGATAGAAAATATCTATCATACTGTGACYGAGCAAGTCATTCACCTCATGGTTGCTAGGAGGAAAAGATAGCAAGAAGAAGAGACCATGGGTCCATAATCCTTCAAGGACATGCCTCCACTGACCTAAAATTTCCCATTCTACTCCTTCTCTTAAAGATTTGCCCACCTTTCAATGCCATCAGGTTGTAGACCAAACCTTTAAACCATAGCAGCAAATGTAAGGAATATTAAGCTTCATCTGTATCTATTAATTCATTTAATCTAGTTCTTAAGGATTCTTTCCTTAACTCTATACCCAGAAAGGATTTCATGATCCTTCCTATTCTAAAGCAATAAACTTTCATGAAGACTACATTATATATTAAGTGTGGACATATTATTATTAATGCAATAATGTTTCACTCTATGAATTACCTGTTGATTCTTCGTGATAATCAAGACTATTTTAATTACCTGTTGATGCTTTGTCATAATCAAGACTGACATGGTTCCAAGTGTCATGATGATTTCTAGAATGTGGAACTGGAGTTGACAATAAACTAACATGTACAAAATTGATTACTTAAAACTATTCTGTGATTCATTTATCCATATTTTTATTAATAAAAGATATCACAGCATCCAAATTTCACACACARTATTTTGAATGAATTTAGAGTTCATAAAAAAAAACAGCAGTGACATATAATGAAAGGCTTAACTTCCGTCATAAAGAAACAAAATTAATTAATCATTCTATTCTTTGCTTTGAAGAATATTTCCTCATGAATTTGTCTTAATTTAATTTTGTATCTATTTAACAAAGATAAAAATATTTTAAAAATTTCCTTTAAAATAGAATAAATCATTATTTAGCAAAAAAGTCTTTCTCAATCAGACACGATTTTACTTATATGTTTATAAAATATAAAGAGTTTATGAATTGTGTTTCTGAACTTCAAACACATGTGGTAATTTCTATATACCTATATTTATATTAACCCTTCTATGATTACTAGAAACTATAACACAAAAACGTGTATTTCCTAGACATAGTAATATGGATAATAGTTCCATCTAGAAAATATAGAAATGCAAATAAATAGTTTGAATTAATGAAATATAATTATATTTTTTCTGAAAGTTCCATATTTTTCCTCAGGTATATTTCATACACACAAACAGGCATAAAATTGTAAGCAGTTATAATATTTTCTATGTTTGAGATAACTAGGCTATCTTTTGATTACTTTATAGAGGCAAATATGCAAATTTCATGATAAATACAATAATCTTTGTGTACTTATCTGTAATTATGTTAGTTTTCCAGAACCTAAATAATATTTTTTAAAAGCCTATTAGTTTTAACTTGATTTTGTCTCTGTAAATCTTGATCAACGCTCTGTCTAGCCAATTTTTTTCTTATATCTCCAAAATAGTAAGTTATTAGAAAAGAACTTTTTCATCTTCATACTATCAACTACCAATCTATGTCTGCTTTTCTGTGTTCTTGTCAATGGCCAACCCATCTTCTTGAGTGGATTCTGTGCTTTATCACCTATTATTAAAGACTATTCATCCTGTAATTATTTTCTGTAGTATAATTTCTTTCCTCCATGCTTTGTCTCTGCTTTTGACATATATTAATGTTTAACTCTTTCTCATCTGATTTTTCAGTCTTACCCTTTTTGCACATTTCTGTTAACCAACTTTCCTTTTCTAACTTTTAAAAACAGAATTATCAAACTTATTATATCAATTTTTTCATGTCCTATTCTCTGGTTAATCCACTAACTATCATGCTTTTAATCCTAAGAGTAAAAGGATACTCTTCATTTTGGAAGTCAGTGATTATCCCTTCTTCCCTGAGATTGTAGGTAAATATAATTTCCTTCTCTTAGTCACATCATGCTTAATATCTCACATACTCCTGAAAAATACTTTCTAACTTTTCCTCCATGTTTCCACAGTCACTGATTTCATTATTGCTAATTTCTACCTGTAACAGATGCTATAACTGTTTAGAACTTTCTTATTAGTCTCCCTTCTTTATATATGTATTGATTAAGGAATTGCATTTAGATTTTTGTTTAAATATCGTATGGATTCTGATAATTCCAAAATTTCTTACATAAGTCTTGGCTTCTCTCCTGAACTCCCAATTTGTATTATTAAATAACTGCTCAACATGTCCATTCTTATGTCCCTRTTACATACATAGCAAACTAATCCCGTGCTGACAGTTTATCACAACCATGTTCTACCACCCGGATTGTCCA